TCAAAACTTACGGGCATACAATACCTAGTTTTGTTTTTTTTTTTTTCAATGTACACGATCGGACGGCTTCGCAAAAGGCAAATATAAAATAAACACGTTTCGGCCGAAAGAAGTCATCGAGTGGCTGTCGAGGATTTTTTTTTTCCGTTTGACTCAAAGAGAACGTAAAATCGGCCTTTGCACAAACGAGGTCGGTCGAAATGTTCGTCACCCCTTATCGTAACCGACATGCCTTACAATGGCTCCGAAGACAAAAAAATATGTTTCCCTAGATTCTATTGCAAGAATTTTACTGAGCATTTTTACCGGGTAATGCTGTGTTAATTCCAACGGCCCCTTCGAGATATTTAATTTCGATAAATCGACATGTGTATACACAAATTATACCGTTGACGAACCAACACGACAAGTAATTATCACTGTTATTATTCCAACGAAATCGCAATTATAATCGGTTATTGTAACGACTTGCGGATTACGTCAAAGCTCAGCGTTTTCTTTGGAAACCAATAACCAGAACAAGATGGAACTGTCCGCCGATAGCTAAAAATCGACACATCGTATTTGAATGGGTTCAAAACATTTTGCAATCTCGTGCCGATTTCTAGTAATTAGATTAAGAGCGAATAGCGAATTACTCGCGTCCCGTTGGCTCCGTGAGAACCCCGTCGACTAGAGGACCTTGTGTATGTCAGGCCGGCCGAGTACAAATAATATTGTTTGGCGAACGGTATGCGTGTTGTTCGGTCAATCGAGCGCCGTCAGTGCATGTCGTTCAATCGCATAATCGAATTAAGCTCAGTCCAATGGAAACCCACAAACGCTCCGATTGTGTAACCAAGAATGGTTCAGGACACGGAAAATGGTATTATTTAAAATTCGCCGCGGTTTTAAGCACCTAGAGGCTCTGGCGGATTTTAACACTTATTATTACTGCAGTCCCGACAAGAGCACAATCCTTCAATGTCCGTTCATGCGTGCGTGGGATTTGCACGCACACCAGTCCGTACACACAGACATACACTCGAAATTTACCCCGTCGAGTCTTTTGCGCGCCTACAATGTCGCCTTATTACAACAATACCAACGATCCGATTCTGAGGGGCCTGGAAATCCTTTACGGTATGTGTCTCGAGTATGTCACTAATTGGCCACAAACAATCATTTTTCATACAATCAACTGATGCCCATTTCGCGAATAAGTGCACCGGCCACAAGTCGCTTTCGCTGTACGCGTACAACAAGTAGTAGTGATGGACGTAAAATCCTCCGAAGAATGCGAATTATTTATTCTCAGTCACTATTTAAAATGAAAATTACGATAGGCTGTGATTGATTGCATTCTAACAAAAGAAAAACCGCTACAAACTGTCAGTCACGCTTAATAGTCATCTGCCTACGTACTCTACAATTCACTTTGTTTGTTACAGTTAATTGTTTGAATTAACAGAATTGTACAGAATTCAAAGCCGTTCGATAATATATTCTGCAAGTTATCGGTGAAGGATTCTTGCCAGTGTTTCATTGAAAGTAAATTGCGCTGCTGGAAAAAAACAAGTACTTCATTTTTATTAGTTTGTTTTCTAAATTGATCGAGCTAATCAAAACCGTCAAACTCACACGCGCACACGTTTAAATCCAAATGAACCAGCTATCGTTGTCTGCAACGGAAAGTCTATTAACTTTTATGGGGGCTCATCTCTAGGGCTATAATGCAGAGATAAAGTGAGTAGTGACATCCACTCCAGAAGTTTAATGTATATTATTGTCAATATTACAACTATGCGGTGATCATATGAGCGCGAAAGCCACGCGACCAAACGACGAGGTGAGGGTGCAGCTCCCTTTAGGGTGACAATGCCGCTACTGATGGTCCTCACACCATTATTATTGTTATTTCATTCGGCCGCCGCTGGTGATTTGATGCCGGACAGCAAAACGCAGCTGCTTCTACTGGTTTGGTAGACTATAATAATATACACGTAGTCGTCCACAAATTAATTCTCAGTCAGTAATCGCTTGGCAGCAACCACCAACGCCGCTGATGACGTATGGTCATCGTCCCCTTTTTGTGCCGTGGACCACCACCCTGTAAAAATATTGTGATAAAAGCGGCGGTCGCTAGTGACCGCCTTCTTAACAATGTTATATTACTTCCACTTCATAATGGACATTGGCATCAGCACTCTAGTTCGTGTTCGCTTAAACGCGCCAGCGCTGTAATAAATAATACATTTTATTATTTACACCCACTGGTCGCGGCCATATTGAATAACATAATATAATGTCTTCGATGCGGACACGGTTGCTGAGATGCGACGAATCCATTAAATCCTTCGAGAATTACAATCCAGTTTTCCGTTTCATCGTACAATTTTTTAAGCGCTTACACAATTGCCTTCGTCATTGGTTAGTTAGTACATGATAGCTATTAGTTAACCAAATTTTATAAATGATTTATCATTTTATGGTATTTTATTTATAAATGACTGTTCAATTTATCTATATAGACTGTGAGACTTTTTTACTTGTCATGAAAACAAGCAAAAAAATAAAAATTTCAATAGAAATTATTATTTATATTTATGTACTCAAAAGAGTAGGACACAATGCGAATGCTGTAAGAAAAAATCTAAAGCATTATCAGTAGATAATATAAAATCATAACAAGCTGGAATGTGTTGAATGAAAAAAGGATTATAGCGAATATTTCCAGCTTGTATAAAAATAACAAAAAAAAAAAAGATTTGAGTAACAGAAATGTTTTTAAATTTATGACATCAATAGCCAATTATTTTTCTTCTCGTGTTATTTCTGCCGGTCAATGCATAACTTCAACGATTAAATTACTATTTCGTTGCAAAAAAACAAACGTGTTATTTCATTATTAAAAAATGAAATAAATAAATTTATTGTTATAGCTGTACGCAGGGAGTCTTACAGCTGAACTAACAATATACAACATTAGCTTGTAATGAGAAAAATACAACGTACAATTTAAACAGACTTTTTTTTTCACTTAATTTCGTAAATTTAAAAACAGACAATACAATAATTAAAATGTATTTCTTGTAAATACTGAAACTACAATCTCATGATCGCTTTAAAACTCGGCATGAAATAACCTCAAATGATATATTTAATGTCCTTTTTTCAAATAGATACATGTAAAACTTGATTGCATTATAAAAGAGAGCGTTACATTACTGAATAAGTACAGTAATAATATACTTGATAAGTACAATGAACAATAATGCTACTGCAACCATACTTCAACATGGGGGGTTAAATAGTAAAAGTTTAATTATATATATAAAAAAAACCACAACAAAAGATTCCATTTTCATGAAGTGTCAAAATTGGTTGGAAATAACAACTAATTTTTCAGCTTCATACTGAGTGGTTAACAAGCCCTTGACATGTATGGTGTAATGTATACTCTATAAATAATAATAATTATTATTATAACACAATTTGGAGATGAATAGGCAGCCCGTGGTTCCTAATTTCCTAAATAAGAAAACAAGCTCCATTTTCTCAGTCCATTTACACACTGGTATTCATTGTTTTGCCATTTTTACAATGTAAATGTCGTCATTGGGGGCGTCGTTGTATTCATACACAATCACATTTGTTTGGGCTTTCTATTTATACTCACTTCCTTAGAGTCTGTGCCGAATGAGAATAACAAAACGTTTGGAGGGAATAAAATAATAATACGGTTAATAACAAACAGGAACTGAAGCCTGTCTTTGATAAAAGGTACATAAAACCAAATATATATGAATTTATATACAAGGTACGTAATAAAAAAAGAAATAGAATTTAAATTAGTTCATTGATGGTTTCACGTTTTAGTGGACCTTAAATTATTTAAACTAAATTTAACTTTTATATTATACATTATAGTTTAATTTTACATTTTAAAGTTGAAAAATACACAATACTGTAGAAATTTTGTATTACAGATTAAGATTTCCTTAGAAATTCGTGTGATCACCAGATAATATTTTAATATTGATCGTCACTAGCAAATCGCTGTATACTTTAATGACACACTTGAATATAAAAACTGCACACATTAATCCTTATAAATTCTAGATTTCAATAATTCTTGCAAAATTCTGGACTTGAATATTAGTTGAACGTTTTTAAAAGAAAGATAATTTAATTTTTGACATCTTTATATTACATGTCAAAATTGTATGGAGTGTTCTACGTCAGATCTAATGATATGATTGTCATTTGCATTTGTAATTTTGCTATTAAAATATTTCTATTTGTTTGGTTACGTATCTTTGTCTCCATTGCAAAAACGCATTTCTAGACATTTTGTAAATACTATTCCGAAAATCCACATGACTGACATATATTTTGAGCGTTTTTGGAATTAACATCTTTATTTTTTCTTAGAATAAGAGAGTATTAAAAACCTATTTCCATAGTTAAAATATAACAATAATGTTGTATTGTTTTTTCTTCCTGTGTAATTTCGAAAAGTCGAGATAAACGATTTGGTAATAAAGACAACAATTGATAAAAATATTTTGTTTTTGTCTCCTGGAAACTAGCTCTAAAAACCAGTGATACATTTCATAAAAATAAATGTTATATTATGCAAGGTCTTTAACTTATAAATTACTGATACACATTGGTAATCTTGACAATTTTCACAAAGTGTTGTAAAATCTTATTTAGTTATTAATCGAAAAATATCGTAAGCGAGGGTGTAGAAGAAATACAAATTGATCTTAAATAAGAAAATAATTATGTTTTGCGATATAATTTTTATTTTTAATCACGATAAATAATTTATTGAGTATACGGTCCGTGCATGATTTGTTGCACTCAGGCCAGTATTTTATAAAACAAAAATTTGGCTAAACTGATAATGACATCTAGAGAATTATTCAAGAACTAAAATCCTCGTGACATTTTTTATCATAGTTTACTTATCACGGAATAAATAATGGCATTATCTTCGTGCATTTAATGATAAAAATTTTAAACTCAATAATGCCTAAACATGAGTTGGTTTTATATTTTTACTAAATTTTTTACTCAATTAGTAGTTTAGTTTATTTTTATTGTTTTAAAATTTAGTTACTTAATTTTTTTTATCAAGAAAATTTAATGATGGCTCCAACTATTCAAAATAATACTACTCCCGATAAAAGACCGCAGCGGCCTGCTGAAAGAAGGTTAAAATTTAAACTAATCAGTCTAAAATAACTGCTTTTTAATTTAAAACTTTAACTCTAAATAATTTTCAGATCTGATTTAGTATGTAGAATGAAGTATTGCAATACACTTCCAGATATTCCATTTGACTTGAAATTTCTATCATATCCATTTCAACCAACTAGGTATAATTTATTTTATATATTTGAATAAAGTACAGTACTATTTGTAATTTACAATTTCTATTATAAAGATTTATACAATATAATCCAACTTCTCTTGAACGGTCTTATAAATTTGAAATTCTTGCTGATCATGATTTGGGTCTCAATATTGATCTCGTTAATAAAGATAAATATACAATTGACTATAACGCACAAATGGATCCTGCTGATGAAAAACTATTAGAGGAAGATATTCTTGCTCCACAAGATTCTAAAAGGTAGTGCAAAGAGTTTTTATATTTATATATTTAAAAACTTCATATATTTATTTTTTGAGATATCTTTTATATTATATTATCATTTTTAAAAGATATTCCAATATATGTGCATAGAAAACAAAATGTTCATAGTTTTTACTAGTGATAAGATAATTACATCTCTCTTATGATTTATTACTAATATTCTGAATAAGTTTGTTTATATAATAAAAACAAATGTATTAATATGTTATGAATTTGTTTTTAGATCCAGGCATCATGCAAGAAGTGTTTCATGGTTGCGACGTACAGAATATATTTCTACTGAACAAACTCGCTTCCAACCACAAACTATTGAAAAAGTTGAGGCTAAAGTTGGATTCAGCATTAAAAAGAATTTCAAGGTATACTTTTTTCCATAAAATTAATAAAAATAAATAGAAGAAATATCACTTTTCTCATACAGTTTTTATTTATTACATATAAATAAAAAATTATATAAAAAAAGACATTGTTTGAAAGAACAAATTTCATTAATTAACATTACTTTATCAACATTCAATAATTTATGCTTTATCATTATGGTTTTCAAAGCTTCAGTAATTTTCATTTCCATTTTACTGCTATATATTTTTTCTGTGTAGTATAGTAATCTAAACAAAATTTAACAGTTTTGTAAGAATTTTATTTTATTTATTTCGATAAATTGGTTAATAACGTTAATTAATTAAAGAATTAATATTTGTTTTATTGTATTATATATGTCTATAACTTGGTTTTGTACTGAATGCTCAAAAAAAAAACTGTTAATACAATAGTAATCTATATAAAAAAAAACATTTACATTTATAATAATTACCTATAATGTCCTGCAATATTTGTTGAGGAATTCTTCTAACCTTCTGACAAAATTATTCTTTAAGTGCTCTAAATTTAGCTGGTTGTTGCTCATAGACTTAAGAAAATTCCACAAATAAACATTGTAAGCTGTCAGATCAGGGAAAAGAGGAAGTCATGAAGCTATATTCTGAGAGATTACTTGCACTGGAAAAACTTTTTTAAAAATATGAATGCTCACTTGATCTGTAACTCCGTCTAGCTGCAATAAAGTTTTGTTATTTAGGTCATGTTGGGATAGCTGAAAAAAAAATTTGATTAACATTTCAGAATTTTGCTCGGCATTAACAGTCACAGCTTCTCTACATTTATTTTCATTAAAAAATGGACTGATAATGCCTAACGAAGAAATGGCACACCAAAATGTAACCTTAGAAGAATGAATAAATTGCTGATGTAACTTGTATGGATTGGTTTGGCTCCAGTACCTAAAATATTTTTTATTGTCATATACCGAAAGGAGGAAGTGTGCATTGTTGCTCATCCAAAAATTATGCACAATATTCCCATTTTTTGTCAAAGCCAGAATAAGTTTACAAAAAAACCATTGAGCTGAAAAATGATTTTTATTCACATTTTAGACTACCTAAATTTAATACAGATGAAAATGTAAATTTTACCTTAAAATTTTTCAAACCATCCAACCAGAGAGTTAAAATTTAGCATTCTGATGGTGAGCTGATTGCCTGAGACTTTCAACAACACTCATACATTTTGTTTTCAACAGTATTGAGCGATATCTTTCTACCAACTCTTATTCTGTTTGTTGAAGCTGTAACTTCAAAAATTTCAATCCAAACTTTAATTTCATTCGCAGAGAGTACTAAATCATTAACATTTATTGAAAACTCTTAGTGGGAAATGTGTTGAGTAGCCCGATAACTATCAGTATAATAAAAGACCTAATAAAAAGTGCAATGCTGATCAAATTCAACATCTTTATTGAAATTATTTCAGCCAAAGAGTGAATCAGTGACTTTGAAAACATACTCCAATAGTTACCTGAGTAATTCAAATCGCCCATTTCATAGTTGCACTCTGTATATTAATTATTCATTAACCTTGAAATGTTGATCCTAAGAATTTAAACTATTTTTAATGATTCTTTTATGTGAAAATTTTAACCTCAATGAAAGTATAAACTTCTATTTATGTAATTTATTATTTTTTTTTTCAGGAAGAAACACTTTATATGGATCGAGATAGTCAAATGAAAGCTATTGAAAAAACATTTGAAGACAATAAAAAACCTATTGAAAAACATTATAGCAAACCCAATGTTCATGCTATTGAAACATTGAGTGTTTTCCCAGATTTCAAGGTATATTTTTTTAAATTTTTGACATTTCACATAATTGATGTAAACTAATTATTTCATTCTATAACTATTACGTTTTTATTTAATTTTTTTAGAATTGGAGATATCCATGTGCTCAAGTAATTTTTGATTCTGATCCAGCACCAATGGGTCGGCCAGTACCAGCTCAAATAGAAGAAATGTCACAAGCTATGATTAGGTATGTACATTTTTAACAATACTATAATAAAAAAAAGTTATTGATTAAGGTGAAGACAGTCATTTTCTTGAAAACTATTGAAAGTTTTAAATTTTCATAAAAGAACAAATTGTATAATTCAAATAACTACAATAATATGTAGTAAAATATTTTNAAAGAAAATTAAAGTTAAGGTTTTTTATTCCTGAAGGTATGAAAAAAAATTATTTAAATACATATTATTTGAAAGTTTTTTAAATGAAACAATATTTTCCCAAACAAAAATTTTTTAATTTCAATAGTTTTTAAGCTAATGACTGTCTTATTTGATCACTTGTATTTCTTTATATTTTAATGAAGTTTTTAACTTTTTTTATGTAGGTTAAATATAATTGAATTCAGTTACAAAACTTGATATTAGTTAATTATTTAGTAATTATATTTTTAATTAAACATATTATTTATTTTCATACGAGTTAAAATATATTTAACTTGATTGTTATAATTAATATTATATTAAAATTTTTTTAAATTCTTAAATAGTTAATCTTCAATAAGTTAACAATAGAACGATAATATTTTGTCATACTATTTAGAGGTGTAATGGATGAAAGTGGTGAACAGTTTGTTGCCTACTTTTTACCATCTGAAGGAACTATATTTAAGAGACGTGAAGATGTTGTTGAAAATCGCCCTTATGATGATGACTATGAATATGAATACAAAATGTCAAGAGAATATAACTGGAATGTAAAAAGTAAAAGCAGTAAAGGTTATGAAGAAAATTATTTCTTAATTGTTCGTGATGACGGAGTATACTATAATGAATTAGAAACTAGGTTTGTTTATTCTGTGTTTTAATTTTATTTATGAAAAAAAAGTATTAACTTTTTTATGATTATAGAGTTCGATTAAGTAAGAGAAGACAAAAGGTTGGAGTACAAAGCAGTAGTACTAATACAAGGTTGATTGTAAGGCATGTACCAATTAATGAACAAGAATTTAGTGTTCATAAATTCAGAGAAAAACAATTACAGCCCTATGATGAAGAAGAAGAAGAAAAAGCTGAAGAGGCTGCTAAAAAAGCTATACTTGGTAAATAAACATTTTTATAATTTTTTTCATAAATTTTTCAGTCTTAATATTATTATAATTAATAAAAATAAACAATTTTTTATATTTAATGTTTTGCAAATCAATTATTGGAGAGGTTAAATGTTATAACTGATTATAGTTGGTGGAAGATGTATAATTCAGTCATATTCTGGAAAAACTTTATCATTTTACTATACTATATAACCAAATTATCATTTTGAATCATATATAATTATACATTTTGACAAGTTTTTAACTTTTACAGTTTCTTTTAAGCACCATCAAATTCAAACTTGTTTTATTTAGATACATTATTAAAATATCCTTTGATGAATTAGAAGTGGGGGAGATTTAAATAGTATACTTCTAGTAATAAACAATAGAACTATAGGATTATACATAGATAAATGTAATTTATTTTTAAAACAAATTAAAAGATAATAATTTATTGAAAAAATATTTTTTTGCTATTCATATTGCTTTTTTTAATACCGATTATATTTTACAAAATTAAAATTAAAATTGTATGAAGACAGTGTATCTCTGGTTAATTTTTCAATGATTTATGGAATTTTTTTTCTTATTATAAATTACTTCTTAAAAACCAATAATACCCATTTACTTTTATTTTACAAAATAAAAATTTTTATTTTCCTATATTATTTTGAACAGTTTCAAATGATTAAAATGGCATTAATNTTAAAATGGCATAAATAACCTAATTTTCCATGTTCAATTTGAAATTAAGAAATTTTTAAATGTTATATATAATACTATTAATTTTTTTTTTTTTATAAATAAACATGTTTAGCTGCAAAAGAAAGTGCTAAAGAAATTTCTAGTAAAAGTAAAAATGAAAGTGATGATGACCATTTGTTAAAAAAAGGTATGCAGTTATATGGTATCTACTACATTATTGTGATTTAAAAAAAAAATTATTACTTTATATTTTTAGAGACCAAAAAAAACAATGCATCAGACAGCGATTCTTCGGATGGTAATGAAGATACTTTCAAATCTAAAAACACTAATAGAGAAAATAATGATAGTGATAGTGATTCAAAACATAAACGTTCTACTAATAATGATTCAGACAGTAACGATAGCGATAAAGATACAAGCAAAAATACTCAAAGATCAGGAAGTAATGCCAATACAGACAGTGATTCCAGTATCAAAAAATCCAGTCGAAAAGTTTCTCGACAAACTTGCAGTAAAGATAGTTCTGGAAGTGATGAAAGTGAAAAATCAGAAGATGAGACACCAGTAAAAGCTAAAGATACATCAATCAGTGGAGATAGTGAGGATGAACATAAGAGGAAAAGAGTTTCAAGTGAAGCCAAATCCGATAACAGTGAAAATAGTGATGCTGAAGAGTTAGAAAGAAGCTCAGAACGTGCTGCTAGTGAAACTGGAGTTAATACTGATTCTTCTATTACTGATAATAGTGAAGCAGATAGTGCTAGAGGTTCTGATAGTGATTAATAAAATTGAAGAAAATATTTTTAATATGTTTACAATGTAAATTAAAATTTCTCACTAAAAATGTTTACATAAATAATTTATTTTAATTCTCTTTTTTAATGCAAATATCATCCCATTGTTGAATTATTCCATCTGACTTGTTTATTTTTGAAAAATAAGCATGAAAAATATAATATTTATTATGGCTCTAAATAACAAATCTAATATATTTGTTATATTTATTTTTCTTATATTATAATAGATTCAATAAAGTATTTTGTCTTTTAAAATTGTTTTTGACATGTAAAGATTCAGTATTGTACTACTACTAAAAACCTATTATCACTTTTATAATCTTAACACAAAATTATGGTGTACTGTTTCAAAAGTGATAAATTGTAAATTATTATTTTATATATGTCTAGTAAGATCTTGTAAGCTATAATATATTGAAATAACTTATGAAAAAATGCTGTTCAATTATTTATTTTATTTACTAATTTTTTTGTTAAGAAGTACTAAAAGTCTAAATGTAAAAAATAATGTTTCATAAAATCGATTTTTAGAAAATTGAACTCAAAAATTAGTCTGCTAAAATTTTTATAGGAATCTATTTAAACGGGAGATGAGTATTTTACTAATTATACTCACAATCAATAGTATAAAATATTTAAATTTAGAATGCACACCTATTTCCTTAATCCTTTGAGTCATGCATTTTACACTAACTCCACAACTTCTACATAGAAAGAAAATAATATTTAAAAAAGGAAGTAATTTAAATAGTAAATGATTTGTTTGTAAATATACAATTTATATTGTTTTATATCTATTCTATTTCATAACCCAATTTTATTTACGACTATTTGATATAGAATTATATTGAAGGGCAAAATGTTATATATGAAGTGTAATTAATTAAATCCTTAGTATAATTCAACGTAAATTGAATTTATTTAAAATTATGTTAATTTAACTCGTGTAATAATTTACAATTATACAACAAATTGTTATATCATTGTAAAGTTGATAATTACTCGATTGCTAATTGTAACCAAGTACTTAGTTAACTACTGGTTATTAGAAAAATTATCTTTATTATTAGCACTAGCAGTAAACCGTAATTTACAAAAACTGAAAGACACTTTTTTAAGAGCCTTCAAGGTAATCGTGGTTACCGCTACCATGTCCCATATCAGCATATGTACATCAGCTGACTATTCCCTCAAGACAACAAAAACAAATAACATATCAATTCAGACGACTTTCGATAAGGACATAATCTTGGAATATTTGCATAGTACGTTTTGACCACATACAATTAAACATTGAATGAGCATATTAAATACGTCGTATCTATTAATACAAAGGCATTGTGATTTCCGTAACTTAATTTTTATTTTGAGTATGGTAACATGAATGCCATTTTTAACTTCCTTTAACTGCAAGCTTTAGTCAATACGAAGTTTAAATAATCAATCTTAACGTGTTTCAATATTTTTTATTTAAGTCAATATGGTAGATTTAATGTTCGATTATCAGTTTAGATTAATTTTAATCGGTGACAGCACAGTAGGCAAGAGTTCATTGTTGAAATATTTTAATGATGGAAAATTTGTAGAAGTAAGTTGCTATTAAAATACCAAATAAGACTTATTTGTTAAATTTTGTTTACAAATATAGGTATCAGATCCTACAGTTGGTGTTGACTTTTTTGCTAGAACTATTCAAATACCCAATGGCCCAAGAATAAAATTACAACTTTGGGATACAGCTGGTCAAGAGCGATTTAGGTATATGTCTTATTTGTCAATCAATCCTTAAAATATATCATAATATTAAATTACATTTTATAATTGTTTGTACTTCAGATCAATAACAAAGTCATATTATCGTAACTCGGTAGGAGCTCTGTTAATATATGACATTACCAAAAGAGCCAGTTTTGAACACATACCTGTTTGGATGAATGATGCTAAAAGACATATTGAACCACATCGACCTGTTTTTGTTTTAGTGGGTTGTAAACTAGATTTGGTTCGTAAAATTCATTTTTAATTTAATACAATTTTTTGAGATTTTTTGTTATTGTATTTACAGTCTAAAATAATTTTAAAAACTTTTTCATTTTGTGTGACAAAAATATAATTTTGAATACATTAAATAAACTGTAAGAAAGTCTTGACAGTCAAATAGTCTAATATGACTATTANAACTGTAAGAAAGTCTTGACAGTCAAATAGTCTAATATGACTATTATAGTATTATTTTAATAATTCTTGATATTGATGATAGTTTAAAACATTGTAATAAATCAAAAGTATTCAAGTAAAAAGCACTATATTTATTTTAGATACATCAAACATAATGGTTTTTAACTTTAAGGTCAATCTGTATATCTCTACTTAAAAAGTAAATTATATATTAATAGCTTAAAAAGAAATTATAAATTAAGACATTATTTTGAAAATTTAGATTATTCAAAATAAAATATATTTTTTAGCTTTTATGCATAGCTAAGAGCTATTGGTTTTACTATTTTTTTTGGTCGTTTACATAATTTCTCTGCTTCTACTACATCAATTTAGTTCAATGATACGTCAACAAATTACAAAACTTATCTAGTTGGAGATATCAGCACAATAATTATGAAAAAATCCCTTTATATCCAGTAATAAAAAAAAAGTCTAAAATAATTAAAGATGTAATAGTAATTGTTGGTATTTTTAGTTTTCACTTTTATTCAAATAACTTTTTGGCAATTAGTTGAAACATTTTTACTGATAATACTTCAAACTTTACCCTTTCTCATGACATGTTATTTTTTAAAATTTAGTTGCTAATATAAGTATTAATGTAAGGAGCTTAAAAATCATAACAAATTTTTGATAATATTCCATAAAACACACTTTCTTTAAATCTTATTAAATTAAAGCTAATACAATTCACTTTAAAATAACAAAAAAACTATCCAAAATCTTGATTTTCAAGAGTTGTTTGGCATTAAAGCCAAAAATACAATCTTTAGTAAAAATTGCTAATTTTGTAGTATTTTACATAGCAACAGAATACTTGTTTCCTCCTGTATTATTTTAAATTAATGTATGATTAAAAAAAAAAAAAAATCAAAAACCATGTAATTTTTGATAATGTATTAAATTTTATTTTTTAGTGCTTCGAATACGCATTAAAGCTTTTTACAATAGTAATTTCAAAATTGTCATATATCAATCAATACATATAAAAAATTTCTCATCTTAAAACTCTTATTATTACAGTTATATTATTCATTTTTCACATTAAATAATAATTAATTTAATAAGTTATAATATTTTTTAGACTATAAAAATGTTTATAAACTGGAATTTGTTACAGAATTAATTTCATATTTTTTTACCTTAATTACATTTATCCGCTGTGTGTTTAAAGATAAGCAGTATTAGTTGCTTATTATTTAAAGTGCTGACACTTTGAACACAGAAAATAGATGGTGTCAATATTTAAAACTTCCAAATCTTTATAAGTCATTTTATTTCTTGGGTTAGTCTAAATGAGTTTAATATTTTAAGTTTGCTATCATATTTAACAATAGTATTAAAGTCTCAACATTCACCTAATTGGAAGTATCCTTAATGTTTTGATATATCTTTTAAAATTTAATAAAAATGAGTTTGAAATAATTAATAGATAAAAAAATAATTAATTTTTATTATTATATAATTTTTGTTTAATATTTAAGAAAAAATTAATTTTTTTTTTTTTAATAGGTAAATAATGGTTC